TTGCTGGCATCAAGTTCTGAGTATGGTTAAAAAAAAGACCCATTTCTTTCTGCCTTAACATAGGGAAGAGCAAATTAAAAGGAGTAATTGAAACTCATAAAAGCTTGTCACCTTTTTTTTTTTTTTTGTAGAGACGGGGTTTCACCATGTTGACCAGGATGGTCTCGATCTCTTGACCTAGTGATCCACCTGCCTCTGCCTCCCAAGGTGCTGGGATTATAGGCCTGAGTCACCGCGCCCTGCCCAAGTCACCTTTCTATGATGGGAGGTGGGGCACCTATCGAGAAAGGGTTAGGAAAGGCTTCCTGGAGGGACTAGGGGGGAAGCTAAGCAGAGGGAATCTTTCCGGGGACTGCAGTGTGGCATAACGGCAAGGTATGTGCTGGGTAAATGATAGGAATCTTGGGAGATCAGGCAAAGAGCTGGATTAGGAGCCGTTAAGTATGTATTTTTCGTCTTTTTAAATGATGCACTGGGTAAACGTAAACACTAAGTTGAAAATCTGCCTTTTCCAGGTAGTTAATCTTTCTACAGCTTCATTTCGTACAAACCTGAAAAACAGTGTTTTTGTCTTTAAATGGGGGCACTCTCCTCACAGTGCTCGGCACCTAGTCTTTCTGAAGTCCCACGCAGCCGTCCCTCCAGCACTGTAGGCGGGGTCGGCCCAGTTCCCCTCCAGTGCCGGCACAGCCAGACTGCGCCGGGGATGGGCGGTGCACATGGATGGCCGGCTCTGGGATGCGGCTGCAGGAGATCTCTTCTTGGACACGAGGCAGGAGTCCCATCTTGAGTCCCGGGTCGGGAGAGCACCTTAGGGGGATAGGGGAACCACGCATCTGCCGAAGCCAACTGTCAGGGGCTGCAGACATCAGGTGACGCTATTGTTATAAAATTGGCCATCACATTGTGTTAAGGGCCGGTGGCAGTGGCTACTCGAATGAGAGTTGACTGAAGGGAATCAATGTGCACTTCCTTCTGAAATTGGGCGTGTGCTCTCTGCTGCAGCCACCAGATTTAACGAATACTGCTCTCTAGCACTTGAAATAGAAGCTAAACCACCTTTTAAAATTAATTCCACGAGAATAAGGACGTATGTCCTGTCTCCCGTTCAGCTGTTAAATTAGTGACTGGAAAATATTGCGCGGAGGTATTTCAGGGTAATCTGATTTATTTTATTTTTTGCAAAATCTGTTGAGTGTCTTCTAATCTGGTTTATTTTTAAAGAAATTTCAGGTATAATTCAGTATCTTCACCAGTTGGGTTATTTTTTCCCCCCAGCTTTATTATTACTACCACTAGCAGCCTCTGTTGAGCCCTTTGCTGCTGTGTAAGCAGCCATATTTCTCAGAAAACCTAATGAGGGAGAGCCTGTGATTCCACAAATTTACATGAAGTAACAGGTTTCCAGACCTAAGGCACCTAACTCAGTCCAACTTGCATGAAGCGCACATTGAAAACCAGATGTGATTCCAAAGCTAGGTTTCTCTTCTCTCTTGCCTCACTCTCAATATTGCTGTCAGTTTCTCCCCTTAGGTTTGGACAGAAGCAAAGAATCCATGGGTTGTTCCTCCACATTCTGTCAAAAACATTTACCTAAGCAGAGCACAGGTAGTGAGATAAGTAGAAAGAGAACTGAATTACAAGATTCTGGATGTCAGTCTTTGCTGTCACTTCTTTTGGCTTGGGCTAGAACAAGTGTCACCTGGCAAATTGAGACACATTCTAAGGTCCTATGCCAGACCTACAGAATCACAAATTGGTGGTGGGGCCCAATACGCATGCTCAAATTTGAGAACAGGTAGACTACAGGATAGTTTCTGCATATACAAAAGGTGTTTTAATTCTTGCTGTCAGTCTCAGAAGGTTCATGCTGAGATAACGAAACTTAAATGATAAAGGTGCAAGACTGACTCGAAATAAAATCACATTTTTTCGAATTGCAGGAGCTTGCTAGCATTTCTCATTCACTGTGCTTTTAGAGCTTCATTTTCCACTATTTTAAGAGAAGAAATTGCTATGAAATGTATGTCCAAGTTAGGAAGTTCCCTGGGCTGAGCTTGTTTAAAATTTGCAATAGTGGCCGGGCGCAGTGGCTCACGCCTATAATCCCAGCACTTTGGGAGGTTGAGGTGGGTGGATCACGAGGTCGAGATCGAGACCATCCTGGTTAACATGGTGAAACCCCGTCTCTACTAAAAATACAAAAATTAGCTGGGCATGGTGGCGAGAGCCTGTAGTCCCAGCTACTCGGGAGGCTGAGGCAGGAGAATTGCTTGAACCCAGGAGACGGAGGTTGCAGTGAGCCGAGATTTCGACATTGCACTCCAGCCTGGGTAAGGAGCGAAACTCCATCTCAAAAAAAAACAAAACTTGCAGTAGCAAGGGCTACCCATTATTTAACCTTCCACAGCAATTTTAACAGTGGTATCATTCTGTCCTAGGTGGTTAATGTTAAATCTATGTGTCAGTGTTGGTAGTTTTCAACCTTGGCCACACGTAATCATTCTGATGCTTAGGCTATATATACCCAGCCTAATTAATCAGAATCCCTGGAGGGTGGGACCTGATCAATGTTTTATGTTTCCCAGGTAATTCCAATGGTAGCCAAAGAACCAGTACCATATATACAAAACGTTGAGAAGCTAATTTCACATACAGAAAATTTGCCACTGTTCTAAGAACACTCTCAAGGGACATAATTGGCCTCTACTATTCCCTACAAGTATGAATGGGTAGAAGCATCAGAGAAAAAGCTGGAACTCGTATTTTTTGTGGATGATGACCTTGGTCAATGTTTTAAAGGGCTTTGTTTTTTCATAGGCTCCCCCTCATTACATTGTTCTGAGAATTAAATGTGGCTGCTCAGATAATGAAGGGCTCAACAGAGGCTGTTAATGGTAGTAATACAAGCTAAAAAAAACTACATAGACAAACCTATCAGTTTCTGCCTTTTCAGGATATAACTATTAGGTGCAAAAGTAATGTGCCATTACTTTTAATGGCAAAAACCGCAATTACTTTTGCACCAACCAAATATGATTTTCTTTTAGTGTTCTTAGGATTTATTTTAAAACATATATAACAAAATTTCCTACTTAAACCATTGTGCACTTCAGTGGCATTAATTATTTACAATGTCATGCAACCACTGTTGTATTTCCAAAACATCATCCCCCAAACAGAAGCCCTGTAACATTGTCAGTTAACTCCCCTCCCCACCCCCCGATTCTGATTCAATGCATTTGCCTAGTTTAGTTCATATAGGTGAAATTATACAGTATTTGTCCTTTTGTGTCTGACTTACTTCATTTAGCATGTTTTAAAGGTTCATCCATGTTATCAGAACAGTAACGTGCTTCATATTTGGGGGAAGTGTAAAAAGTATTCCTTTTAATGGCTGTATATTTCACAGTATGTGTACACATGTATATTGAAAATTGAGAGATTTATATGTACACTAACTGTTGGTGGACACTCAGGTTTCCACTACACTGACACATTTTTTTTTTTTGAGACAGCATCTCATTCTTGTTGCCCAGGTTGTAGTGCAATGATGTAATCTTGGCTCATTGCAACCTCCACCTCCTGGGTTCAAGCAATTCTTCTGCCTTAGCCTCCTGAGTAACTGAGATTACAGGCGTGCGCCATCATGCTCAGCTAATTTTTGTGTTTTTAGTAGAGAGGGGGCTTTACCATATTGTCCAGGCTGGTCTTCAACTCTTGACCTTAGGTGATCTGCCCTCAGCCGTCCAAAGTGCTGAGATTACAAGTGAGAGTCACTGCATCCTCCCTGAGTTCCTGTTTTTACTTTTTGGATAGTCATCCCTCAGTATCCATGGGGACTGGTTCCAGGATTTTCCATGGATACCAGAATCTGAATATACTCAAGTCCCCAATATAAAATGGCATGGTATTTGCATATAACCTACATATCCTGCATAATTTAGCCATCTATCTCTACATTACTTCTAATACCTAATACAATATAAATACAATGTAAATAGCTGTTATACTATGTGCTTTAGGGAGTAAGTATGTACATGGTCAGGAAACAATTTTTTCCCAGTTGTTTTTGACCCAAGGTTGATTAAATCCATGTATGTGAAACCCAAAAAGGAGGGTCAGCTCTGGGTCATGTGGTAATTCTATTTAGTTTTTTTGAGTAACTGCCAGACTTTTTTAGACAGTTTCGTTATTGTTGCTCAGGCTACCACCTCCCAGGTTCAAGCAATTTTCCTGCCTCGGGCTCCAGAGTGACTGGGATCACAGGCATGCACCACCATGCCCAGCTAATTTTTTTGTATTTTTAGTAGAGACAGGGTTTTTCCATGTTGGTCAGGCTGGCCAAACTGCCCAGGTGATACGCCTGCCTTGGCCTCCCAAAGTGTTGGGGATCTGTAGGTGTGAGCCACCATGCCCAGCCTCCATATTCTTATTTCCCATCTTTTGGATTAGAACTATCCTAGTAGGTGTGAAGTTGTATCTGGTTTTTATGTGTTTCCCATAAGACTGACAAATAATACTTTTTCAGAGTCTTGCTCTGTCACCCAGGCCAGAGTGCAATGGCGTGATCCTGGCTCACTGCAGCCTCTGCCCCCTGGATTTGAGCAATTCTCCTGCCTCACCCTCCAGAGTAGCCGGGACTACAGGTGCGCACCACCACACCCAGCTAATTTTTGTACTTTTAGTAAAGATGGGTTTCACCATGTTGGCCGGGCTGATCTCAAACTCCTGACCTCAGGTGATCTACCCGCCTTAGCCTCCCAAAATGCTGGAATTACAGGCGTGAGCCACTACCGTGCCTGGCCCTAAACATATTAAATATATTAATATAGAGGTTGAGAAATTTTTAGAATTTGGATATAAGCTCAGTGAAAGGGTCACAAGTGCTTTTTCAACACTGATCAAATTATACTTTCCTGAACATCTGCTTCACATCTCTCAAATTTTAGGGTAGCTGTGGCTGTCTGGCACAGACAAAAAGGAAATTGACAAACATGGATGGTTTGAGAACTTTATTTTTTAAACAGTTTTTCTCCTTTTTAAACTTGTGTTCTTAAGAACTTGTTTTCTCATACTCCAATGTTTGCAAAGTTTTCTAAGCCCCCTCTTCTTGGCTCATTACTCAGCCCTCCACTTTACTCTCCATCCTTTTTAATATTATAGTTCGGCCAGGCACGGTGGCTCACGCCTGTAATCCCCGCACTGTGGGAGGCCAAGGCGGGTGGATCACAAGGTCAAGGGATCAAGACCATCCTGGTCAACATGGTGAAACCCTGTCTCTACTAAAAATACAAAAAAATTAGCTGGGCATGGTGGCGCATACCTGTAATCCCACCTGCTCAGGAGGCTGAGGCAGGAGAATTGCCTGAACCCAGGAGGTGGAGGTTGTGGTGAGCCAAGATCGCGCCATTGTACTCCAGCCTGGGTAACAAGAGCAAAACTCTGTCTCAAAAAAAAAAAAAGTATAGTTCAATAGTGTTTTTATATTACTCATTTAGACTAGCTAAAATCAAGTTATGTATCTTAGTTAAAAGCCAAAACTGATGATCTGGGAAAAAAAAGCCTGTAGTGACACACATTGGAGATGCTTTGTAATTAGTATATTAAGGAAACAATACATTTCAAGAATTGCTTAAATTCTGATACCCAGATTTAAGCATGTGAACATATGAGACTTTTAAACATACAATTAAAGCTATTCATAATTTGCTATACTACCAACATTAGTTACTTTGGAGCATAAGTCAAATGGTTTAAAGTAATCCTGTAACATACCTAAAGAACACCTTCCTATATTACGCATGCAAATTACTTCTCCATGTAAAGGTCTTTTCACTTTAATTTCTACGTTACCCAGCTCTGAAGTCACTACTCAGGCTTATCATGGTCCACAGACAAGGAGGGGAGCAAATAACCAGGACTGGTCAAGATATATATGGATATATATATATATATATATGGATGGCACAGCAGAAGGAACAATTTTGGAAGTGCAAGCCTTCAAGAAGCAGCATATTATGATAAACCCCTCCTACAGAAAGGTATCATTTTATCACTGATACCACAGGATAAATTATATATTATGCCATCTTCAAGTAACAGTTGAGGCAATAGAATAAATGCAGAGGCATTACAATGATTCCCACTTAATACAAGAACTATACAGACCAACACTTCTCTACAATTTTCTTATTGCCAGTTAAGTACAGTTTTACTTTCAGAGCTTAACAATGAAGGGTCATACACTGAAGCCAATACATATACCTAGCATTTCAGTCTAAGCTTGTCCACATACATAGCTGAAGTCAATTACAAGGTTTGGCCTAGCAATGCTAGGGGAACTTCTTTTTAAAGTACTTTTTACAGGTATTAAACTTCATTTTGCACACTGAAGTCATCATACATACAGGGCAGTCAGAGCTTTTATATTTGCCTTTATTCTTCATTTAACTTTTTAAAACACTACTATAGTTGATTAAAACAAAAACAAGAGCAAGTAGTGAGCATATTATGATTACATCCTTACTCATTCACTACTGCACATAAAATGCCAGCAGTGAGTGTTATTCACTGGCCCATTAAGAGGTCTGACACTGAACACCACCTCTGGGATGATGTTCATCATCCTCATATGCTTCTCCATTGTAATGGCGCCGTCTTTCCTGATTTGGATCAAAGTCCACCAGTTCTACTTGATCCATCTCATCAGTCTCTTCCACTTCCTTCCTCTCCGGTAGGAGTTTTTCCAGCAAAGACAGTTTATCAGGAGAGAGAAAGCCATTCTCAGGGAAGTTTACCTTCAAAAGAAATTTTTAAAGTTCAATCTGTTTTCATCATTAGCTCCTTAAGAGTATCATGGATTCACTTTCCCCAGAAAAACACAGTGCATAGCGCACTCTCAACTAGAGTTCAAGGATTATGACCAAAAGTCAGGCTTCATTAAAAAAAGATTGTATTAAATAAAACTGTACTTATAACCACCATTGTTCTATCCAGCAAACTAACTTTGAATACTAAAACCCGTCCTGAAACAGTCTAACTCTTCTCATGAGGTATTTAAGAAAGCTACTCTTACTCTCAAAAGGGTAGTTCTTTCTTATCCAAAGATATTTTTAGGCCTGTAATCTCAACACTTTGGGAGGCCGAGGTGGGCAAATCACCCAAGGCCATGAGTTTGAGATCAGCCTGGCTAACATGGTGAAACCTGTCTACTAAAAACTCAAAAATGAAACCCATCTACTAAAAACACCAGCAGGTGTGGTGGCAGGTGCCTGTAATCCCAGCTACTCAGGAGGCTGAGGCAGAATTGCTTGAACCCAGAAGACGGAGATTGCAGTGATCCAGTATCTTACCACTGCACTCCAGCCTGGGCGATAGAGCAAAACTCCCTCTCAATAATGGGGAAAAAAAGATGTTTTAATTAATATCTTTTGTGATGAGAGGCCAATTTAAGACTGAAATTGACTGGATTGCTTTATACCTATTAACAAATCAAGCATTACACTATTTTGCCATGAAATCTGCAATTATAAAGTGCCTCTAAACTTTAACAGTTACAACTTATAATTAGTAAAATAGCCACTTGTCCAGCACACCCTTCCCACAATCTGTCTTTAAGTATCCAATTAATGATGCAAATACCCCATCCTCAACCTGGTTAACAAAGAATGCTCACTCAACATTAGTAGTATTAGATAAAATTGTTTCGAGATAGGGTCTCATTTTGCCACCCAGGTTGAAGTACAGTGATACAATCTTGGTTCACTGCAGCCTTGACCTCCTAGGCTCAAGCAATCCTCCCACCTCAACCTTGAGAAGAACAATTGCACTACAGGTGCATGTCACCGTACCAGGCTAAGTTTTGTACTTTTTGTCGAGATGGAGTTTTGCCATGTTGCCCAGGCTGGTCTTGAACTCTTGAGCTCAAGTGAACCAACTGTCTAGGCCTCCCAAAGCACTGGGATCATAGGCGTGTGCCAGAGGCATGTAACCAGATCAGTGTATTAATTGCTGGGTAAGGAAAAATATAAACTTCAGATTGCTTGGCATTCAGAAATTTTAATTCTCTCTCTTTTTTTTTTTTTTTTTAAAAAAGACAGGGTTTCACTATCTTTTCTAAGGCCGGGTTGCCCAGGCTGTTCTCAAGCTCCCAGGCTCAAGATATCCTCCTGCCTCAGCCTCCCAAAATGCAGGGATTACAGGCATGAGCTACCATACCTGGCTGAAATTTTTACATTTTTTATTTTAAAAATCAGAGTTTAGTAAGCCAGTTGTTCTTCTCAAATATAAAGTACTTTACAGCTTACCTTAAATTCAATGATTAGGCGACCCTTTTCATATGGTCTACGATAAATTGGCATGCCTTCATTTAGTACACACTTGATATCTCCATGCTTGACAATCTGACCTAAAAACATTGAAGCCAAGTTCTTCTTTAAGTATGGTCACATTTTTATGAAGCAGAGAAAATAAAGAACAGAGAGCATTGTCCTAGCTCACTGGCAGAAGTAAAACTTAGGTGGCAAAACAATCCTGTTACTTTTCATGTATGGGTTTTTTAAGGGCAGACAAGAGAGCCAAGACCTTATAACTTCATCTCAGCCCAGGAAATGGTACGTAACCAAGGAAGAAAAACAATGCGTTTCCCTCTACTGTGTTATCAGGAGACAAGGAAAATACTAGAATAGAAAAGAGAAGCTTAAGCTTGCCTAGTTACCATACCTGGATGAGAGGTGATGACTATGGTTCGGTTGTCAAGAGTAGATATCGGCTTTTGGAAGCCACACAGTGCTTCAACCAGCTGTATGTCCATACACATGAAAAGGTCTTCTCCTCGTCTGCATAAAATATGACACATATTTACATTTTTCAAATCACCGATCAGTAGATGTACCAAAGCAGGCTATTGTTTATTGGTTTAATAAAAGCAAGGGTGTCTTTTGTAAAGATTCTCTTTTCTTCCCCCATTGTAAAAATCAAACAGAGCAGAGATATGGGAATAGCACACATGTAGAACTTGCCAGCCCTGTTTCCTAGATAAGGATTCAAAGTCATTCCACACACTCTAGGCAGCCTTTACCATTTACCATCCCTGAATTGTTTCATTACCTAATTTTTAATCTAGTTTCTCAGAGGGAAAAAAATAACAAAACTCACAAGAGTGAGGCTTAGGTTGGGCGGTGTAGTTCACACCTGTCATCTCAGCACTTTGGGAGGCTGAGGCGAGTCAATCACCTAAGGTTGGGAGTTCAAGACCAGCCTGGTCGACATGTTGAAACCCCTTTCTACTAAAAATACAAAAAAAATTAGCCATGTGTGGTGGCACACACCTGTGATCCCAGCTACTCAGGAGGCTGAGGCAGGAGAATCACTTGAACCTGGAGGCGGAGCTTGCAGTGAGCTGAGATTGTGCCACTGCACTCCAGCCTGGGCAGGGTCCTAGATAATTTAGACTCCATGAAATTAAATAAGGGGGTTATATGACCAATTTATTTTTAATTGACTTTAAGAATTTCCTCATTGATGTACCTGAAATACAGTTCCTGGCACACTGTGAGTGAATACAGCCTTTCATATTTAACAGCCCACTTCCTCCTCATGCTTAGACTTTCCTCTTTTCCAGCCCACATTAATAAAATATCTTTAATCTTTAATACTCTTCTCAAATGACAACATCAAAATCCTAAGCTTGACAACCCTTTCCATTATCTTCAGACATTTGTGAAATACTTTGTTTTTTTGAGACTAAGTTTCACTCTTGTTGCCCAGGCTGGGGGTGCAATGGTGCAATCTGGACTTACTACAACCTCTGCCTCCCTGGTTCAAGTGATTCTCCTGCCTCAACCTCCCAAGTAGCTGGGATTATAGGTGCCCACCATCACGCCTGGCTAATTTCTGTATTTTTAACAGAGATGGCATTTCACCATGTTGGCCAGGCTGGTCTCAAACTCCCAACCTCAGGTGATCCACCTGCCTTGGCCTCCCAAAGTGTTGAGACTACAGGTGTGAGCCACCACCAGCCAAAATATTAATAATTCTAAACAAGTTTAAGATGTTCCCAATTTCACCTCCAGTCCACTTAAAAAAAAAAAAAAAAGATGGGCTCTGTCACCCAAGCTATAATGCAGTGGCATGATCATAACCTTCAACTCCTGAGTTCAAGCCACTCTCCTGCCTTGGCCTCCCCAATAGCTAGAATTCCTGGCCTCAAGTGATCCTCCCACCTCAGCCTCCCAAGTTGCTGGGAATATAGCATACACAGAGGGTCTGTTATGTTTTGATATTAGCTGTGAATATATTTAACACAAACATTTGCTATTAACCATCAGTCTTTCTTGTGCTTCAGTGTTAAGTTCATCATAAACTTGGTATTATTTAGTTCACAATGGTAGACCTGAATTTTTTTTTTTTTTTTTTTTTTTAATTGTGTTGATGCTCTTTACCATTTGGTATGTTTTTGGAGTGGACCTGAATTTATACTTAAATATTGAGTTCTAATTTAAGTTTCCTACAGAGATGCTTTTGGGTATTTACAATTAAAAGCAATTCAATTTATCTTAAACTTAGGATTGAAAATTGGTGAAAGCTTTAAGGCACTTACTTTAAATTGTTTTACAAAAACTGAGGGCAAACTTTTGTCCAGGGATGTTTTCCCCCAGCCATTTGGTGTTTAGGTTCACACAAAACATCTAACTGAAACACATTTTCAATGTTCCATACTCAAGAGACAAAAAGCTAAAAATCTGATCCCATGTATTCAAGCTCTTATGATTCAAACAATGGTTAACAATCTATTACAAGATACATTATACACAGTATAACTGTCTTGCTATATTTTCCTAGCATATCTCCAGGAAATATGTTGCAACAGTAATGGTAAACACATTATAAACAACCAAAACCAACAACCCAAATATGTAAAGATGTCAATTTGAATGGTTTATAAAATTCTTTACCGAGTAAAAACAGCATGGTCCTTCTGATCTAACACAATGATTATATCTCCTGGCTCCAGTCCTGGTTCTTGGTCTCCTTCACCATGGAATGTTATCTTCTGGCCATCTTTCATGCCTTAAAACATTAATTTTATACTCTTAAGGTCAGAATAATAAAATCTATACATAGATGTTTATGCATAAAAATCACAGAAATGACTAAGAAAGCCCACTTTCTTAGTAGTTCAGTCCAATCTGTGCCTGAAGAAAGGTATCATAGTGGGAAATACAAACTCTAGAAGCAAGGACCAGCCTTCAAATCTCAGGGCTGCTATTCACTGGCTGGATTACTCTGGGAAAGTAAGCTGCATATCCTACCCAAGTTTCAACTTTCCCACACCAACACATTATGATTGTCAAGTGTATCAACTAAACAGTTATAAGCTGGTACTAAACCAGTGACTGGCAAACATTGGTTATAACCAAAAAATGTTAATTAACTATTTCAATTTCATTACTTATAAGAACATATCAAACTACTTAAGTCTAACAGCAATGTAAATCAAGACCCTTCTCACTGTTGTAGTATTTATATATATGAAACTAGAAAAATTTAAAATCTATAATCTTAATTCTTGAGATAGGCTATTGCTCTGTTGTGCACGCTGGAGTGCAGTGGCACAAACATGGCTCACTGCAGCCTTGATCTCCTGGGCTCAAGTGATCCTCCCACTTCAGCATCCTGAGTAGATAGGACCACAAACCAGCTAATTTTTGAATTTTTTTTAAAATAGAGATAGAGATTCTCATTATGTTGCTCAGGCTGGTGTTGAACTCCTGGACTCAAGGGATCCTCCTGCCTTGGCCACCTATAGGGTTAGGATTATAGGTGTGAGTCATGGTGCCTGCCAAAAATTCGTATTTTTGTGTAAGAACTATTCAGTTTGGCCGAGCACGGTGGCTCAGACCTGTAATCCCAGCACTTTGGGAGGCAGAGGCGGGCGGGCAACACGGTGAAACCCCATCTCTACTAAAATAAAAAAAAAATTAGATGGGCGTGGCAGCATGTGCCTGTAGTCTCACCTACTTGGGAGGCCAAGGCAGGAGAATTGCAAGAACCCAGGAGGCGGAGGTTGCAGTGAGCTGAGATTGTGCCACTGCACTCCAGCCTGGGCAACAGAGCAAGACTGCATCTCAAAACAAACAATAAAACAAACAAAAAAAACCTATTCAATTTGTTCCCCTTAAAATTACACTTTGGGGAGGCCGAGTCAGGAGGCTAGCCTGAGAATAGCACCCTGGACCACAGGAGTTCGAGACCTTGTCTCCTTTAAATTAACAAAAAAAAAAAAAAAAAAAAAGAAAAAGAAAAAGAAAAAAAAAATCAATCAAAACTAGACACTCCCTTAGCTCATATGGTCCATAAAATACAAGGAGAGTATTTATTTTCTAACAGGGCAAGAAATTTTTAAACAGGCTTTTTTTTTAAAAAACTAAGATTTCCCCAGCCCTCACCTCTGACCCACATATTTTAGTTCAGTAAGGGTTTGGACAACATTTCTTAAAACATAACTGGTGTAAGAAAACCTGTGTTTGTACAGTATTACACCGAAGCAGTTATCTCCTGATTATTTCCTGAGATCACTCTGGTTATCTAACAGAGCAATCTTGTTTCACCTTTTAGTATGGAAAATATTAATCCTGTATAAACAGAGCCAACAGTACAATGAATTTCTACATATCCATTCAATCTGGCTTCAGCAGTTATTAACTCATGATTAATATTTCATGTATTATACCCCTGCCCATGCCCCCCACAAATACTTTCAAGTAAACCCCAACCATAACCATTAACCCAAATACTTCACTGTTTACCTCTTATATAAAGACTTAAAGCAATATCAGTATCATACACTAACAAAATTAAACAATCTGTCTTTAATCGCCTATCCATGCAAAATAACTTGTTATGCTAGTGAAGCAATTAAACTCAGCTAGGTTTTCCTGAATAAAAACAAGGATAGGCATAGCACAAATGTCTTCACTTGCTACATAGTTAGGGTATTAATTTAAAGTCCTTGCTTAGTGTCCATCATTGATAGGTTCTTGGAAATTGCTTTAAATGAAATGACACATAACAAGACCATTTTTCCCCCTCCCCTGTGTTATAGTGACATGACATTGAGATCAATTTGCCAGAAGTCCCAGTTTCCAAGAACCTATCAACAACATTAAGTGAAGACTTACTCTATATGCTATTGGTATCAAGAACACCTCAAAATATAAACCCTAGGCATGGGCCCATTAAGGGGAAAACAGATTTATTAAGTTCAAAAACTGGCCAAGGAAACTTACTTTTACATTTCAATGCACTACATTCTTAGGTGGAAAACCTTGGGGGATCAGAGAGGCCAGTATCATGAGTCATGTGATAGAATCCTATTGCAGCCACTTAATGTAGATTTGTATACTGATATGGAAATATGTTCAAATATTAACAGTTCCAGATTGGTATCATACCATAGTACACTATAATAGAAGTTCCATTTAAAAATAGCAAAATCTGAAAAGAGATTACCATAATGTTGATTTAAGTTTCCTCTGGGGTTACATGCATTTCTAAAATTTCTGCAATGTACACATATTGCTGTAATACATCTTAAAATATTTTCTTAGGTTAACAAAAGTAAAATTAAAAAACTGACAAATTAACTCCCAAGAATACAAAAAGAAAAAGGTTATATAGTTATTTCTAAATTTGGAGCCCAACAGGTAGGGAAGTGTCAAGTCTAAAAAAAGGAAAAGTAATTTAAATTGTTTCAAATCAAGTAATGGAACATTTAAATACAACAGATGGGCAAGTAAGCCAATTAAGTGGGCCAAAAGGCTTATTTTAAACAAGTCCAGCCCCCACATGGTGGCTCACATCTGTAATCCCAGCATTTTGGGAGGTCGAGGCAGGCAGATCATTTGCGGTCATGAGTTCAAGACCACCTGACCAATATGGTGAACCCCCACCTCTACTAAAAATACAAAAATTAGCCAGGCATGGTGGAACGCTCCTGTAGTCCCAGCTAGTCAGGAGGCTGAGGCAGGAGAATCGCTTGAACCTAGGAGGTGGAGCAAAGATCGCACCAGTGCACTCCAGCCTGGGCAACAGAGGAAGACTCTGTCTCAAAAAACAAAAAGAACATGTTCATTAGTTTAAAAAATAAACATGAAGCCAGGCGTGGCGGCTCATGCCCGTAATCCCAGCACTTAGGGAGGCTGAGGTGGGTTGGTCACCTGAAGTCAGGCACTGGAGACCAGCCAAGCCAACATGGTGAAACCTGGTCTCTACTACATTTATGGCACCAGTGATGTCAAAAGATGACCCTATTATATTAAATAAAGACATTCCTAATATATTCTCTATTAGTAATATACCAATGTGCAAAATTGTCTGAATGGAAGAACATTATTTACTAATGTTGCTAAGAGCTATTCCTGATAGGACATGTAACCTAATTAAGAATGGTTTTTAAACAATTATAAAATGTTAATAAACCTGCTACAGCATTCAACACTTCAGAATAAGTAGCCCAGAACTCACCTTTGTCAATATGAACTTCTAGAATCTTCTTCTCTCGAACTATCTTCCTTCCATTGCAGCTTTTACATCTATCTTTAGGACTGATCCGCTCCCCATGGCCCTGGCACTCCATGCACACAGACTGAATTTGCTGAACCATTCCAGGTCCTATCTGATGAATTCTTATTTGCATTCCAGTACCTCGGCAATTGGGACAGCACTCTACTGCTCCTTTCTTACCTCCTCTACCTACATTTAAAAGAAAATTAACGTATGAATTAGTAGTGTATACAGTAATAAGTGTTTTAGGAAGACAACGCCTAAATGCTGTACTTTTAATATTTTCAAGGTCTGATGGAATGCTACCCTCCAAACATACAACTGATGAGATCATTTTAATGAGATCTGTTCTCCAGTAAGTAACTTTTACTTATGAGAAAAAAAGACACCAAACTAGCTTGATCCCAACTGTATTTAAAATATACACAGAAAAAAGTGCTGATATTTCTTTAGGTAGCAGGCTCAGTTCAGGTAGTTTTCTTCATATCTGCACTCCCCGAAAATCTAGGTAGTGTACATGTGTCAATTTTACATATCCAGGAAGTCTTAGCTCCTTATTGAGGTGTCATATTAAAGATGTTAAAAAAAAGAACACACCATACCTTCGCATTTGTCACAAATCACATTCTTTTGCAAAGCCAGTTTTCTTGTTGCACCATTATATAAGTCTTCTAGGGTTACTGAGAGCTGATGTACAACATTTTTACCTGAAACGAAATATTTCTCATTATAAATCTGTTTAAGATGCTGGATCTTATTTAGTTGTGCTAAAGGCGCTATAAACAATGCGTCAAAGGATAATAAAAGATGAGCCTCACAGGGTACATCTGTTGACTACCTACTACATACACAGAATGTTCACATTATCACAGATGATCTTCAAATGTGACGTAATCACAGATGAGGAAAATTCAGGTCAAAGATTAAGTATCTGCCTAAGTGCATAGACATGGCCATCTTGAAAATATGGTAAGCAAAACATTACCTTCAAAGTCACTTGAGAAAAACCAATGTTATTTAAAAGGGCACATTTCACAATAATCCAAACATTCATTTCTGTCACTATATATTCTTTGAAGCTTTCACTTAGTACCGTATTAAGCAACATGGCCAATTACTTCATCCAAAAATTCTTTAGCTCAGTAAGTTCTCATTAATCAAGACTGGCCAGGGAAGCTGATGTATTACTGATCCACCACAGAAGAGTATCAATTTCTGCTTCTTTCTGATTTAGTAGAAAACAGCCCATTTACTGCTAGGCCAGCACTGGTTGTTCTAAAGGCCAAATTCCTCATACCTTTTATAACAGCATTGTCCAACAGAACTTTCTGCAGTGATAAAAATGTTTTATATCTGTTCTGTCCAACATAGCAGCCACCAATCACATGCGCTTACTGAGCATGTAAATGTGGCTCTTTAGACTAAGAAACTGTATTTCTGTTTTTGTCTTAATGAAACCACACATGGCCAATGGCTACTAAGGAGTGCCTTACTTCACTTAAATCAGAATGGGAAGTGGAAGGTTGAGATCACATAAGGACACTGAGGCTACAACTGCTAATAAGTTAGTTCCTAGCTAGTGATCCTTCCACAGGGACTTATTCCCAACAATATTACTGCCTTTCCACCTACTGAAAAAGTTCTCAAACTCCTTTCTGTACAACATGCCTAATAAACATTTTAACTTTCTAATCAAGCATGAATTACCATTAATTATGTCCTCCTGCTTATAGCTCCACCTTTAGTTTTGGCATGCTAAAATTTAGCTGCCCTTATTTTGTATAGTGTTGAGAGTATACGGAAGGAAAAATAAAGTTTCTAGAGCTTCACAAAGCACATTTCCCCCAAAATAACCTCTCAATATGACCTAAAGCCACATAAAAGAGCTTGCCAATGTTAACTTGCAGGTCAGTTCCTTTTAAGGTAAGTGGAAAACCACCACTACTTTTTTAATAATGATTTACTAAGCAAGTGATTTAGATTGTGGACTTTTTAAGAAATTTAAATATCTTTTTTTTTTTTTTTTTTTTTTGAGACGGAGTTTCGCTCTTGTTACCAAGGCTGGAGTGCAATGGCGCAACCTCCGCCTCCTGGGTTCAGGCAATTCTCCTGCCTCAGCCTCCCAGGTAGCCGGGATTACAAGCACGCGCCACCATGCCCAGCTAATTTTTTGTATCTTTAGTAGAGACGGAGTTTGACCATCCTGGTCAAAATGGTGAAACCCCGTCTCTATAAAAACAACAACAAAACAAAAACAGAATCCTTTCTTGAAGATCTTTAAAGAACTGAATAAACAGTTTCCCAAATCTTTCCGAACCTTAAGCTCAAAGTGAAACTTAATGGCTTGCCCATTCATTCTAAAACTGGGTCTGCTCATCAGCCCTTGTTTGTATACGCTATACTGGGAATAAAGTGAGACCAATTTCTCTTGAACACTTTATTCCTACCTATGAGCAGTATTTCTAGAGCCCATAGACCACTTTCCTGATAAATATATTAAATACATATATTTTGACACAATAAAGCTGAAGCAAGATTAGATCGGTGGCAGGCAATGAGCCAGTTTTCAGCCCTGCTCTCTTGGCTTGCCATATAAGCTTGAAGAAGTTTTAGGTTTCTGAACTTTAACTCACTTTCATTTGAAAAAGACCACTGTATCTACCATCAAATTCCTTTGGGGCATGATGGAACATCAAATAGGATCTGTAAAAAGGGCTTTGAAAATTATATTGCTATACTTTGTTCTCATAATTTGCTTTTTTTGAGATGGACTGTGCTGCCCAAGCTGGAGTGCAATGATACAATCCCAGCTCACTGCAACCTCTGCCTCACAGGTTCAAGTGATTCTCCTGCCTCAGCCTCCCAAGTAATTGGGATCACAGGCCCGTGCCATGACGCTTGGCTAATTTTTGTAATTTTTTTTCTGAGACAGTTTCACTCTTGTTGTACAGGCAGTGTGCAGTGGCACAATCTTGGCTCACTTCAACCTCCACCTCCTGGGTTCGAGAGATTCTCCTGTCTCAGCCTCCCAAGTAGCTGGGATTACAGGTGCCTGCTTAATTTTGTATTTTTAGTAGAGATGGGGTTTCACCATGTTGGTCAGGCTGGTCTCGAACCCCTGACCTCAGGTGATCCACCCACCTCAGCCTCCCAAAGTTTTGAGATTACAGGCATGAGCCACAGCACCCAGCCATTAATTATTGTATTTTTTTAGTAGAGACAGGTTTTCATCACCTTGGCCAGGCTGCTCTCAAACTCCTGACCTCAGGTGATTCACCTGCCTCGGCCTCCCAAAGAGCTAGGATTACAGGTGTGAGCCACCATGCCCGGCCTGTTCTCATAATTTATGTTTGATAATATCTAAGATTTCTGGAAGCAGTCATTTGCTACCACTCGATTGGCTCTTTTTTATATCCCTTAAATCTCATTTTTAAAAAAAGACACCATAAATCAGAGGCAGCTTATGGTCAGTCTGCAACATTATACCACGTAAACACGCATTTAAAATGGGTGATTTCTCAAAGATCTGCTGTGACCAACAGCTACTTTTAATTAGCTGCATAAGGACTAGTTTCTTCTTACCTCTCCTTTCTCTCTGCATCCTTCCTCCTCCTCCAAAAAACATATCAAAGATGTCCATGGGAGAGCCAAAACCGCCACCTGCTCCACCCTCTTTAATTGCCTGTTCTCCTCCTTTGTCATATAATTCCCTTTTCTTTGCATCAGAGAGAACTTCGTAAGCTTGAGATATCTGTTTAAACTGTTTGAGAAAAGAGGAGTGAATTTCATTTTTTTTTTAAAAAACAGGTATTACCTAGCCACTATATTACACTTATCTTAGCTAAAAAGGCAGAGAAAGGATCATAGTTACTATATTAGACACTCAATTTCAGGCCTTAATAGAAATACTACACATCTGACAAAGAACTATTATTCAGGTATGTTTAAGAGTATGTACTACTTGCCTTCTCTCCTTCATTTGGATTCTTATCAGGATGGTACTTCAAGGCCAGTTTCCTATAAGCCTTTTTCAATTCTTCCTGAGTAGCATTGGGTTTGACTCCCAAAACATCGTAGTAAGTGGTTTCTTTCACCATCTTCTACTGCCTGAAATAAGAAAATGCAACTTTAACTGGCAGTTTTAATTAGTAAAAATGAGAGCTAAGGCCGAGCAATCTGCTCTTTGCCAAATCCGATTGTAAGAACACCCCCTTCCTAAATTTCACCAAAAAGGTAACAATTCCTGCGATTCAGCTATAAATTTGAACAGACAAAACAATCTAATAATCATTATCAGAAAATAATTCAAGAGCCGTGTTCTAGCAGCTGGTTCCCACTCTCCCACACCAAAGCTTCCATACTAATAGAACACAACTATTATCTGGATTCTTCCCGTTTGCCCTAGAGTTGGTGACAGCTGTAATCAAAAGGGGCACTAATAGATTCAGTCTATTGGTCATTACACTATCACCGTCTTTGGTAAATCTGATAAACTCCACATACTCCCCAGAAAAAGCCAACTATCTGGGCACACAGTGGCGGGGGAAGTGGTTTATAAAACCGGTTACCCGCTCCACACAGCAAGCCCCCTACCGCCCACGGCTTACAGCTTCTCCACGTTCACGGCCGAACCCCTCTCGCACCTCAGGCCGACAGAGTTTAACTACCAGCTTTCCCCCTGCACTTGGCGCGACCGTTAAGGTTTTCTTCCTTTCTCCCTCCCACCCTGGATCCAAGTGGCGGAGGGGAAAGCCCAGCCCTCAACAAAGAAAGGGAGGGGAGACAGGAAAAGCGAAAGCCGCGGCCTCCGCCCGGCTCCCCCCGCAGCCCCTCGCCCCTGCCTCCCAGTGCGCGTGCGCAGGGTCGCCCCCCCCCCCCCCCCGGCCAAACGAGCGTGGACGGGGAGGGGGGCCGCGGGAGCGCGCACGGAGGGGCAGCCGAACGCAGCAGCTCATCCGAGATCCAAGGTTGGGTAGGGAGGGAGGTCCAGGAAAGGTCTTGGACCCATTAACTGTGGGTGGTGCCGGGGATGGGTTGCCAGGGTACATCAGCCCTCCTAAAGGGAAATCGTGGGACCAGGAACCGATAACGCTCCTGCCCACGCGGCCAACGGCCTCTCGACCGCGGCTCCATCCGGTTTCCTGGCGCCAATGGCGCCAGCCAAGGGACTGGGGGAAGCGCGAGGGCTCAAACTCACCGGTGAGCGGACTGAGGTCGGTGTGTGAGGAAGCGGGAAGGAGCGCAGAGCTGTGCGGAGCTGTGCGCAGCTCGGGCAGCTACCGCTCCTCCACCTCTCACCGAGCGTTCTGGAAAGTTCCTCCCGGCGCGCTGCAGCCGTCGTCTTTTGTAGCCGAACCCTGGCGCGTCACTCGCCGGAAGTCCCTCCCTTCTTCGCTGCTGCCACCGCCCCGTGGTTACCTGGGCAACGGCGCGGGGGCGCACGGGTCGGGAGGAGCTGCGCCGAAAGGCCTTGTCGGGGGTGGGTGGTAGCCCGGCTTCCCGACGCTCGTGGAATCTTCTGGAGCCCTTTCCTCCAGTCAGCGAGCCCGGGAGTGCGGAAGCCTTCGGCTTTTGGGCCATGGCCCGGGAGCAGTGCAAGTCCTAGGGTTCCCAAATCAGTGGGGCGGCCGCGAGGGCGGGAAGGGCTCGAGTACAGTGACCCATCGGGAGTTTTATGTGATTGGGGAAGCTATTGGAACAAAGTCTTGCCCCGCTCCCACCCTTCTGCTGGCGCCTTTTTCTCTGCCAGGGAACCCGCTGAGCAAGAAATGCCGAGCCAGGTGGGTCTAGTCCCCAGATCAGTAGCATAGGCCTTGGGTCTTGCTGTTTTTCACGCGCGGTCCAAGATAGCATAATTCAGCAAATTGCTAAGTTATTAGGGCTTTTTGTGCAAGTCCAGGCCCCTAGACACATGTTATCTGCCCTGGACCTCGCTGACTCCTGCAGCTTAGAGCAGAGAGTCTGGGACTGAGCTGAGCAGTGAAACCTTTGAACCACGTTTGATGCACAGTAGGCCGTGGACTCCACTGGTCAGGCTTTCACCCTTTCACTCAGGCTACAGAGTAGCAGCAAGATGGCGAAAACAATTTAATTATTTGACCTGACTTTCACATTATAGGGGTCAGTGAACCTGGATGTACAATCTGCAACGTGAGCCCTTGGACCTTAAAATGATACCACGGGTGTTTAATGGGAATTGGGGTCCGCCTTTTTATTTAGGACCACAACAGATATATCAGTATCTAGCACCAAGAATGGAGTTTGCCAGGCGCAGTGGCTCACGCGTGTAAGCCCAGCACTTTGGGAGGTGGAGGCGGGCTGATTGCTTGAGCTCACAAGTTTGAGAAGGCCAGAGCAGCAAAACACCGTCTCTATTTAAAACAAAAAACTGGAGATGCAGAGTTGAAAAGCCCCAGTTAGATTTTAGTGAGAAGCCAAACAATTCAGGGAAGCTGTAAGTCTGAAGTCAGCAGGGGAGAGGCTCCTATATTAACCTGATCAGGGAGAGTTTCCGTGGGAAAATGGCAATTGAGCTGAGTTTTGAAAATGGGAGAAGAGCCGTGGACAAGACACAGGGGAAGGCTAGACTATGGTGTGGAATATGTTGTTTTTAGGAAATTGTAACTAATTGGATATAGCCAGAGCTAAGGGAGCTAGAATGGCCGAGGTGAGGCTTCAAGCTAGTTAGGGCATGCCTTTGTTGGTATATATGCTAGGCTAAGGATTTTGAACTTCATTGTTGGAAGCATCCTCGTGCTACCTCTTCAAGCCTTTTCTCTTTCATTAATTTTAACTGCATTCCAGTCACAGAACTATCTGCAGTTTCCCGTATGCACCTTTTCACTTTCGAGTGCTTTTGCCTTGGCTAACAGATGCCTGATTTTTTTCAGTCTTAGGTGTTGCCTTCTTAATTATCACCTCTGGTATAACCTTTTTCGTTTAAACCAACGAAATTAGTAAACGTCTAATATTGCCAGGCAGTGTACTAGGGCTTTGTAAGACAAAAATCACGTAAGTCAGGCTGGGCTCGGTAGCTCACGCTTGTAATCCCAACACTGTGGGAGGCCGAGGTGGGTGGATCATCTGAGGTCAGGAGTTCTAGACCAGCCTAACCAACATGGTGAAACACCATCTCTACTAAAAATACAAAAAATTAGCCAGGTATGGTGGCACGTCCCTGTAGTCCCAGCTACTCGGGAGGCTGTGGCAGGAGAATTGCTTGAACCTGGGAGGCGGAGGTTGTCATGAGCCAAGATCGCAGCACTGCACTCCAGCCTGGGCGACAACCAGACTCTGTCGAGTCTCAAAAAAAAAAACAAGTGAGTCATGGCCCTGCCTTCAAGGAGCTTACAGCATGAGGAACCAGAAACATAACCAGTTGAGTGATAAATGCTAATAAAGGAAGAGTAGGGGGTGCTGAGTAGAGGAACCTTGCACCATCCAGATGAGTATCCCGGGCAGAGAGATTGTTAAGTGTGAAAGCACGAACTGTTAATGGAGAACAATAAACAATAACTACATAAATATCATTCATGGGTTGTAGTCCTGAAATTCCTATTTTACTGTAACATAGACTGTGCCTTTGTGAATCTAATGTTGGTTAAGCATGGTATCAAATCACTTTAACCAAGAGTTTCAACAATTAATGTTACCCTGTCTACCGTGTTTAGTATTTCTGCACCAGGAACCCAATTGAAATTCCCACAACTTTTGAGAAAGCTGCAAATGTGTTGCAAGCATGAAAATACCTCCTTGAGACCACCAACTTGATTATGAAATCTGATATTGAACATACTTTTAACGTCTATAAGCTCATGTATTAAGTGAACTAAATTCTTTTTGTTGTTGTTGTTGTTTTAGACAGTTTTCCTCTTGTTGCCCAGGCTGGAGTGCAACGGCGTGATCTTGGCTCACCGCAACCTCCGCCTCCCTGGTTCAAGCGATCTTCCGAGTAGCAGGGGTTACAGGCATGCGCCACCACTCCCGGCTAATTTTGTGTTTTTAGTAGAGACGGGGTTTCCCCATGTTGGTCAGCCTAGTCTCAAATTCCCGACCTTAGGTGATCCTCTCACCTCGGCCTCCAAAAGTGCTGGGATTACAGGTGTGAGCTACTGTGCCTGGCCCTAAATTATTTCAAAAGTTATTTTTGTAATTAGGCCGGGAGTAGTGGCTCACATCTGTAATCCCAGCAGTTTGGAAGGCTGAGGAGGACAGATCGCTTGAGCTGAGGATTGCGAGACCAGCCTGGGCAACATTGTGAAATCCCGTCTCTATAAAAAATACAAAAACTGGCCTCTTGAGTGTGGCAGTGCATGCCTGTAATGTCAGCTACTCCGGAACCTGAGGTGGGAGAATGGCTTGAGCTGGGGAGGTGGAGGCTGCAGTGAGCTGAGATTGGACCACTGCACTCCAGCCTGGGCAACAGACCTTGTCTACAAAAAGAAAAAACAAATTTTTTTTTTTTTAAGTAGAGATGAGGTCTTCCTATGTTGCCTGGTGGGACTGGTCTCAAACTCCTGTGCTCAGGTGGTCTTCCAGTCTTGGCCTCCCAAAGTGCTGGAATTACAGTCATGAGCCATGCCCAGCTGAAATTCTTTTTTTTTTTCTTTTTGTATTTTAGTTTGGGAGAAATTATTAATAAAATAAGGGTCATAAAAGCTGGTTTAAAAAAAAAAGTATATATTTGCTTGTATATGCATAGAATATTTCTGAAGGACACATAGAAATGTGTAATATGGTTGGGTTGCCTGTGGGGAGAGGAAGTGCTGGGTAGAAGTGGATGGGAGGAAGAATTTCATAATACAACCTTCTGTAACTTTTAAAATTTTAACCTCTGAATGTAGTACTTAACTCAAAGAATTAAACTAAGATAACTTGTCATTCCTAATAGCAAAGTTAGGTGATTCTTAGTTTCTTAAAAATTATCATTACAGGCCCAGGCCTGGAGGGTCATGCCTCTAATCTCAGGACTTTGGTGGCTGAGGCAGGTGGATCCCTTGAGCCCAGGAGTTTGAGACCAGCCTGGGTAACAAGGCGAAACCCCATCTCTACAAAAATTAGCTGGATGTGGTGGCACAAGCCCATAGTCCCAGGTACTCAGGAGGCTGATGTAGGAGGATCGCTTGAGCTGGGGAGGTGGAAGTTGCAGTGAGATCATGCCACTGCACTCCAGTCTGGGCAACAGAGCCAGTGAGAATTCGTCCAAAGACAAACCAAAAAACGAGGAAACATAATTGCTTTAAGGATCTTGCAATAAAAAAGAAAAATCATCACTACATATCTTCTGTTTGACACTTTTTTCTTTGTAGAAACCTATTTCAATGATGTTAAAAATATGTCCTGAAGAATATTCTGGCTGGAAAGTAATTGAAGTTAACAGTTTTGGCAGGGCATGATGGCTTAAGCCTGTAATCCCAGCACTTTGGGAGGCCTAGGCAGGTGGATCACTTGAGTCCTGGAGGTTGAGACCAGCCAGGGCAGCATAGTGAGGCCTTGAATCTACGAAAAATTAAAGAGTTAGTGTGGGGGGTATGGGCCTGTAGTCATAGCTACTTGAGAGGCTGAGGCAAGAGGTAGACCTGGGAGATCAAGGCTGCAGTGAGTGGTGATTGCACCACTGCACCTAAGCCTAGGCCACAGATCATGACCCTGACTAAAAATGAAGCTAACAAAGAATTTAACAGTTTTAAGAAGCATTCTTATGTAAAAAAAACAAAAACAAACTAGCAATAACTTTGTATGTGATCTTCGTTTGTATAGAAATGGCATCATTATACAAACTGTTTACAACTTGCCCGTTTCACTTTGTCATCTTACTATGTCAGGATAAATATTAATCTACTTAGCAGGCAC